TTGCATAGCTATTTGCATATGACACACCCACTCCATCTCAATACAAGGGCTTTCATCGCTCTCGTCAAACATATGCTGCTCTCTCAGCAGATCCCTTAATGAGGCCAAGTGTGTCGTTCTCAAAAACCAGTTCAGACACTGTAAACGCCTGTAATACCAGATCCAGATCTTTAAATGTTAGCTTAAAACCATTATATAATTACTGAGCATTTTGAGTACTCCTGTACGTTTTAGTCAGATGTTCATTCAACATGTCCATTTTCAATGAATGCATTGAATGTATTGATCAAATGTATTGGATGGATGAATGAATAAATGAATTACAGATTGAATCAATGAATTAAAGATTGAATGAATAAATAAATGAATAAATGTATTTATTTGTTATTGAAATTATAATAAATTAATTAATTAAAGATTGATTGAAAAATGAATGATTAAATGTATTGGATAAATGAATGAATAAATTAATTACAGATTGAATGAATTAATGAATTTATCACAAATTGAATTAATAAATGCATTTATTTATTTGTAATTGAAATAATGAATGAATTAATTAATGCAAGATTGATTAAATGTATTGGATGAATGAATGAATAAATGAATTACAGATTGAATCAAAGAATTAAAGATTGAATAAATAAATGAATGTATTTATTTGTCATTGAATAAATGATTGAATTTATTTATGAAATATTGATTCAATGAAGTAATGGATAAATTAAATTAGATTACAGATTGAATGAATTAATGAAAGATGAATGAATGAATGAATGAATGAATGAATGAATTAATTAATTTATTTATTTGTTATTGAAACAATGAATGAATGGAATAATTAATAAAAGAAAGAATGAATGAATGAATGAATGAATGAATGAATGAATGAATGAATGAATGAACGAACGAATTGGATAATTGAATAAATAAAGGAATTACAGATTGAATTAATTAATTTATTTATTTGTTATTGAAATAATGAATGAATTGATGAATGAATGGATTAATTAATAAAAGATTAATTCAATGAATGAATGGATTTAATAATTATTGAATTATTGAATAATTAAATGAATTAAATTATTAGTTTTGTTAATAAATTAATAAAATTATGATTGAATGAATGAAATGAATGAATGAATGAATGAATGAATGAATGAATGAATGAATGAATGAATGAACGAACGAATTGGATAATTGAATAAATAAAGGAATTACAGATTGAATTAATTTTTTTATTTGTTATTGAAATAATGAATGAATTGATGAATGAATGGATTAATTAATAAAAGATTAATTCAATGAATGAATGGATTTAATAATTATTGAATTATTGAATAATTAAATGAATTAAATTATTAGTTTTGTTAATAAATTAATAAAATTATGATTGAATGAATGAATGAATGAATAGACAAATTAAAGAAAGATTGAACGAGTGAATGAATAAATGAATGAACAAATAGATGAATGGATGAATATAAATGTATTGATTGATTAATGAAAGAATAAACAAATAGTGAATAAAGGAAAAAAATGATTGAATGAATGAATGAATGAATGAATGAATGAATGAATGAATGAATGCATTTGTTATTTAATTAATGAAATATTGAACAAATTAATGGAAGACTTCGTGAACTATTGAATTTACCCTGGGCTTTACCCATTTGTCAGCAATATGTGTTTAAGTGTTTAGTTTTGTTTAATTTTTACATAAACTTCACTAAATGAAAATGGAACAATATTTCAAGCATATTTTGGCTTTTCGTTCTCAGCAGTTGTTTCAAGTTCACTGCTGAGAGTATGTTGATGTACTTCCAGCTGAGATGGAATATTGAGTAGGGGGCGGGGCTTTCTTTTTGCACATCATTCCCTCATAGCAAACTAACAGTTAGAGGGGCGTGTTTAAGAATATTATGGCTGAAGCCGTCAAACTGACATCAAGGACAACCACTCTGAACATTTAAGCAAATGATCAGATTTGAAGATTATCAAAAACAACCTTTTTTTCAATGTAACTTGCACAGATTGATTTTCCATCCGAAGAATAACAATGCTCACTAGCAAAATAAACATTACCATTTTGATTTCACGCAGACTCTTTGCATCTATTGTTTGTAAATATTATTTGATATGGGCCCTAAAACAGACTCCTCTAAGACACGTATTTTGAAGCTTTTTTATTTGATCTATTCTAAAGATTTATTCTAAATTTCTTCTGTTTACAGGAGTGTCCCCAGATCCTGCCGTCCACTCAGATCTACATCCCGGTTGGTGTCATGAAACCCATCACCCTGTTGGCCCGAAACCTCCCGCAGCCCCAGTCTGGCCAGAGGAACTATGAGTGTATCTTCTACATTCAGGGCAAGGAGTACAGTGTCACTGCCCTGCGTTTTAACAGCACCAGCATACAGTGTCAGAAGACCATGGTGAGTTTTTACTGTTGTCATTTGGTTTTTGGCTGTCTGGCTGCTGTTTGATTAGGAGATGAAGTAAGGAAGTTATCTGGTGTAGCTAAAACAAGCTGATGTTGGTTTATGTCAAACCTGGATTTGCTGGTAGACTAAAGAGAGTAGATTAGAGAGAGTTGAGTAAATTTTAATTCTTTTATATGTTTCCCCAATTTCTGTATTAAATACAACGATTTGTTCTGAAGCCAAAACAGCAAAAAATATTGCTTAAGGGAGCTAATAATATTGACCATAAAATGTTTTTTGAAAAAGGTCAATTCTAGCCAAAATGAAACAAAGAAAACTTTTTCCAGAAGAAAAAATATTATTGGAAATGCTGTGAAAATGTCCTTTCTCTTTTTCTGGGAAATATATAGTATATAAAGTATTTCTCAAGGATGCATTAAATTGATCAAAATGTTAAACAAATACTTGTTTTATATATAAATCTTAATATCTTCCTATACAGTTCCAGTAATATTTCTGCTTTATTTACATTATTTTTAAAAAATATTATTCTTTTTTATTCAAACATTATGAGACCTATCATACACCCAGCACAATAAGCCGCAAGACGTGTTTGCCCTGACGTGTTGCTATTTTCAGACTAACACAACATTATTTTTTTTGTTTTCCACCACTTTGTTTAAATAGCAAATCCATTTGCGCCACTTTAGTGTTCCGGTCTAAAAAAGAGGTGTGTTAAGGCGCATTGTTGGCACGTTGATATTTTCAGAAACTAAAATACACTGCAAAAGAACAGCTTAAAGCAGGTGTAAAGTCCAGCGCAGAGCGTGTTGTGTGCCTCGCTTACCAATTGCTTAAAACATGCAGGATGTACAGCAATAGATATCTTTACAAATAAAAAAGAATTAATGCATTGTTACTAAAAAATATTACTTAAAACCACTGCCTCCGTGCCTTCTTCATCCCGGGGGGCTTTTTTAATTTATTAATGCATATTTATATTTGTTTTAATAAAAACAAGTTTAGATTTGTCTGGTTTTGAACCATATGGGACATAGCATGTGTACTTGAATATAGCGGGTTTTTTTTTTACCACACTTTGATATTATTGTTTTTATATTTTTTATTGTTTTTATGTTTTTATATATTTTATATTTATTCATTTGCTGGAAATTAGAACTGACTTTATAATTAGTTTTGAAACAAAACGTTGTGCTTAACAAAGGAAATTAGTTATGTAGGATAATAGATGTCTTTAACTCCTTAATATCCCTTATATTAATGTACAAAATAAACCTGATTTAACGTCCACAAACTGTGATTGAAGCGTCTTCTGTTATAAGGGTACTAACATGTGGCTATGGTGATGAATTACAGCAATTTTTTGTCTTTAACTTAGTTACAAATATAAACTGTTTTAAAAATGTTTTAAACTTGTACAACTTATTCTTGATCACATTTGATGATGATTGATGACATGTTAATACACGGCTGTTAATCAATTCGGTGGGTGGGGAAAACTGCACTCTTACGTCTTGCGTGAGCCTCAAAATGGGAGTGATTTGGATCCTATTTTAACATTAGGAAGTTAAAAAAAATGACTTATTGTCTTTCTATCACCCCAATATGACTGTGGACATACTATACTTTCACACAGTTCTGTCCAAACAGCCTATAAAAGATGTTTTGTATCATAGCTGCAATTTAAAACAATTGAGTAAATCCAATGAATCATTTTTTCACTGTAATTTGACCTTGATTTGGGTTTTTCATGCTGTTGGACTGGATTTAGAGCATGTCACGTCTACTTTATGATCACATGGAGCATTCTGACAAGCAGTGACCCTCTTAAATCGTCACCAGTTGTTTAAGGGCCATTATTGGTGGAGAATCGCTAGTCCAAATAGCCAGCCATTTTCCTACTGCACTTGCTGACACAAGCCTTCCCCCTCATTACCTTCTGGCCAATCAACATTTTGTCTGGCTGTCAAAAATCGCATCAGGCACCGGGCAGGCGCCGCCGGACCATTAGGGCCTGATGAAACACGTGCCACTTGTTATCGTTTTAACAGACTGCTTTGCAAAGGCAGTCATTAGCGGATGGGTATTTGATGGCACCGTGACACTTCTTCTCGCCATGCCTTATTGATGGCCGTTATAGGACGCTGCCTCTTTCTCTTTTGTGTTGAGATTCCCAGTGTTACCGAGCGGGAGCTAATTACACGGCTAAGAGTTTTGCGGAGAGCCATCTCTCGCTAAAGACTTTATCGACTGTTTGCTGTCGCAGGCAGTTCAAATCAACAGCATTTGGTGCGTCACTGATGAGAAGCTATTCCTCTGTCTCTGTCGGAGTGATGTTAGCTTTAATGTTCGCATGAACTTACACCGTAGAATATTTATATATAATTATATATGTGTATATTAAAATAAACATGGAACCACTTTTTATTAAGTGTCCTTAAAGGCATACTTAAACAGTTGAGTTATACCATTTTTGTGTCCACTTAGCCAATCTATGGGCATGGTGGGAGCACGTTTAGCTTAGCTTAGCATTTCATTTAAAAATGACCAAATATTTTTGATATTTTTTTTCTATTTAAAGCTTGACTCTTCTGTAGTTACATCATGTACTAAGGCCAATTTTGCTATTTGCTAGACCGATGTGGTTTGGAACATTACCATCATTGTGGTGTAATAATCAAGAGGCTTTGCTGCTGTACCATGGCTGCAGCAGGCGTAATGATACTATGCAGATTCTATCTGGTGGTGCAAGTCTAGCGCTTGGTGTTGGGCTTGCTATTTTCAGGCGCTGCGTAATTTGCTCATGTATTTGTTCCTGGTGTTTGCTGTCATCTATGGTTTTCCAATATTCATTATTTCAAGTTAATTTTTGTTTATTTATTTATTTATTTATTTACTTAGTTACAATACTTATATATTTATTTGTTTTTTGACTGCTTTTGTGCTCTGCTATTTTCAGAACACTTGAACAGTTAAACAGTTGAGTTTTACCATTTGTATACATTCAGCCAAACTCCGGGTCTGGCCGGAGCACTTTTAGATTAGCTTAGCATAGATCATTTAATCTGATTAGACTATTATAATCTCACTTAAATATGACCAACAAGCTTTCAATAATTTTCTTATTTAAAGCTTGACTCTTGTATCAGTCTGGTGCAATAATCAAGAGGCTTTGCTGCTGTACCATGGCTATTATGCAGAATCTAACTGGTGGATCAGGTATAGGGCTTGGTGTTGGGGACCATTTTCAGGGTCTGTGTAAATTGCTCATGTATTTTTCCTCCTTACCTTGCTTTTGTCATCTATGGTTTTCAAATATTCAATATTTCAATATTTATTTCAATTTGTATTTATTTCAAGTTCAATATATATTTTGATTTAATTTAATTTAATTTTATTTTATTTTATTTTATTTTATTTTATTTTATTTTATTTTATTTTATTTTATTTTATTTTATTTTATTTTTATTTATTTATTTATTTTTTATTTAATTTAATTTATTTTTTTCTTTGGTTCCCTGCATTTGTGATCAGCAATTTTGCAAGGTGCTTTATTTCACCATGATCATATGCATTTATTTATTTTGTTTGTTTGTTTGTTTGTTTGTTTGTTAGTTTGTTTGTTTGTTTGTTTGTTTGTTTGGTGATTACCTAAGAAATTAAAATGTACAGTGTTTAATTTTTATACGTACATTGTTAGTGGTAAGTTATTAATCCATGCTAGTTAATCTAGTGAACAAAAAACAGTATGTTTTGCCAATGTTTTATCAAAACCAGACTGTTTGCTTCTTCTCTTTTCAGTCTTTCTCTAATGATATTGGAAAAAAAAATGTTTAGCCACACCCCTCCAACCATTAGTTTGCTGAAAGTGAAAGACGAATAGCACAAAGTTAAGCACAAATATAAGCCCCTCCCCTTGCCCCATATTCAGTTTCAATTAGACATCCATTATCATACCGAATTAAACATCTGCAGACACTTCCGGTTCAGGCCGACTTAAAACGGTTTTCCAAAGTTCCCTACTTTTTCTTGGACATCAAAAGTTCCTTACTACTTTTTCCCCAGGTCATCTGCGGTTTGTGCGGGAGCCGGAACCACAGCGTGTGTTTGGTTCTGTGCTGCTGGGTATTCAGACAGCCTGTCACTCCTAATGAGAGCCCGCAATTACAGCCGTGTTAAGATCCCACTGCAATTACACCATTAAATGCCAGCAATTATCAGTTACTTAGCGCGCAGTGATTTTAGCGCGAGTGCTGTGTAGCCCTGCGTGAAAGTTCCATTACCAGGAGTAGGAGCACGCTCAGAGTGACAGGCTTTGGCGCAGATCAAGAGTCGCTATTGTTTTAGTCATTCACAGAGTCACTTCTTACAGATTAAATGACCGTTCGTCAATAGGCTTCGAGGCTGAACCCGCTCCCGGAGCATTCCACAAAACTTCCGTGTTTAAAGCGCTTCGGCTGAGGTGGCAGACGGCAGGTCAGATAAATGAATCACCCGCCAAAACCCCTGCAGTTCTTTTCATTCACACCGCTGAAACCTTTTCCATCTGAATGATTAATTATAACGCAGACTAACGCTTCTGTTAAATTCACAGCCATTTGAACTGTTTCTTTGCTATAATACTGCTGTTTCCTGTGACTTCAGTTCACCGCTGACTAGTGTTCAGTCAACTCTTACATAATCTGCTTATTTTTTGTTGAAATTCTACTAACAGCTCCAGTTAGTTTTCATTTCACACTACAATATGTGAGTTTGATTCTACATTTCATATGTGAAACAGAACTATATTCACTTTTGAAAACAAGCTTTTTAGTCATTTATGAGTAAATGTGACAAAATGTTGGCAAGATTAAAATTATGTGGTTTTACAATTGTTTGTATAAGTTTATTGGGGGATTTTTGAACATTTGGGATATTTTCTTGTATAAGATACTCTGGTGATCAATTTATAACTTTGAAAAAGGCAAGGCAAGTTTATTTATATAGCACAT